ATCCCTCGTAAAAGATTTTTTTTTATCTAATGTCATCCGTGAATGAATCGCTGTTAACATACGCTAACGAAAAAATAATTATTCGAGCTAACGTTAGAACATATCAACCTAAGCGAGAGACGGCCGACGACGAAAAAAAGGATGACGTCGAACCCGCTTAGCCTTCCTCGGTCCCGTTGCGCGTCGTCGCACCTGTCTGCCTCCGCAGCATTCCACCAGACTTCGACGAGTAAACATCGTTATCTTTTCGGGGCGAAAAGTTTTTGGAAAAATACATTTTCAGTATATGTTCTTGATATTGGAGAAGTTTAAACCTTCGAGTTTAGCGTTATATCTGAGTTTCCGGTTTAGTATGTTAAAATGTGGAGTGTTTGCTTGGCTTTCGTACATTAGTGCCGATAAAATTTTGCAGAAATATTCCGGACCTCGTTGAAAATTTTGTTTTCGAAAAAAACAGTCATTCTTAGTCAAACTAATTACAGTATTAAATTTTTGCCCCCGCGATGCCTAAACGATTTTAATGATGAATCGAATTTAAATTAGCATTGATCATCAGTTATTTTTGAATCTTGTTTACGCCATTTCCAGAATGCCTCATGAAGAAGAATTATCGAGTTACAGGAATAATTAGGCCTCAAGCTTGCAGAATTTTCTACCAGTCATAAGTTTGCCATATAATAGTCGCACGGTACTCAAAAGTAACTTTTCTCTGTGGTAATTGTTGCGCGAAAATGGACAGTTTTTATGAAGGTCTTGACGTAAATCGGGATAACATGTCATATGCAGACAATTTGGTTTGGAATTATATTACTATAATATTACGCGTTGCTACCGAAAAATACCGAGATTTGATAGCAATTCGTAATATTAGACTATTATATTTAATTTGAAACGATTAAGTTAGGTTTTAGTTGCGATATGAGTTATAATCCATCGCACGTGTGTATATGATGAACAATACTTGATAAATATTGTTATCGACTCTTCGTGCACGATAGCTCGCAGTATCTCTGTAATAATGCTGGGCAGTAAAGTTGTCAACAAAACTATATTTGCGAGAAATTTATTGTTTTTATACTTCGCTTTGTCTCTGAAATTTGCGCCGTATAAAAATGAAATCAGCCGACTCTGACGATGTCATTTGTTAGGGCTTAGCTCAAGTCATGAACTAGGTGAGGCGCTTCATAGCCCGTGATTTCAAACGGTTTTTATGTACACGTACGCTCATTTTGCGGTATATTTAGATTAGATAGATGACTTTATTCATTAGCGTTACTACGTTGAAACGTTAAATAGGTGTGTTCGGCGTAGAGAAGACCAGGTTTCCGTAATTTGCCGTTCAAATGAAACAGTGCGTGGGCAGATGGGTTGCGGTTTTGAAGTGATCCATAGAAAATTAGGATACTAGATAAAGTTGAGCGATAAAAGTCAATTTGAAAGTGAACATGTATTGTTCGCGAAAATCGACAGATATTACCAGTAGTACAAGATATTTATTGGCTT